GAGAAATATTGTGTAGTGTAATACATGGAAGATAATACTCGCTCATATTAGATGACCTATCACCATGATTCATGTATTTTATTTCTCACTGTAGTTTATGATGGGTTATGTGGACCAAGTGGGAGAATGTAAGTTGTGCCTTTATTCTCGGTTATTTTGGTAACTGACTGAGAATAAGTCACAGATATGGTCCACATCTTTTCTATAACAGTCTTCCACTAACAGTCAAAAAATCCCAACAATCCATATTTTCTGCACACCACTAATAACAGACACCTTGATGGTTAAGGTCTATATATTGTGACTTCAGGTTGTGCTTTTATTCTCGGTTATTTTGGTAACTGACTGAGAATAAGTCACAGATATGGTCCATATCTTTTTTGTAACAATCTTCCACTAACACCCAAAAACTCCATATTTTCTGCACACTACTAATAACAGACACCTTGATGGTTAGGGTCTATATATTGTGACTTCAGGTTGTGCCTTTATTCTCGGTTATTTTGGTAACTGACTGAGAATAAGTCACAGATATGGTCCATATCTTTTCTGTAACAATCTTCCACTAAAAGCCAAAAAATCCAAAATACCCATATTTTCTGCACACTACTAATAACAGACACCTTGATAGTTAGGGTCTATATATTGTGACTTCAGACTTTAGGTTCCTTGAGCTCACTCTTGGATATATGCTATACACCATCTGTGCCTAAGATCTAGAGCTTGAAAGACTCAAAAAGTTCCCACGGATTACTTGATTCAAGGACAACTACAACTAGAGGTGTGCATGGGTCAGGTCGGGTCAGGTTTTTGTGCCGACTCGACCCACTTGGTTTTTATAGGTCATATATTTTCACCCGACCCGGTTGAATTTGATCCAAGTCAGGTCTGACTTGGTTTGAATTTTTTTGAACTAGTTCAGAACTGGGTCGGATTTGACCTGACTTGGTTTATGAAGTGGGTCAAATTCGACTTGACCTGTTTTTGACTTGGTTTCAAAATATGTTTTTAATTTGATTTTTTTTAGTTATTGATTTATTTTTTAAACTCGTGTAATTTAATTATTTATTTGTTTTAAAATATATAAATTTTATAATAAATTTGATATTTGTTGAATAAATAAAGGAATGTAATTTTAAGCCCCCTGCACATGTGAAGCAAAATTAGTGAAAATTAATGAAAAGTAAAGGATTAGAGAACGTTTTTCCCATCTTAAGATGACAAATCACTAATTTTAATAATGATGTATTATAAAATTATTATGCGAGACATTTATGAAAATTCTCAGTTACCATGCACCTAAATTTTACCAGAAAAGCTAGATGTAAAAGCCATTAAAATAAAATAAAAAATGAAGGAATAGAGAGAAAGGAAATCTATTGCTTGTTATGAAATGAAAGAGGCGATGTTGGAAGGATCAGAGAGTTAAATCTGAAGAGTCAAAGTGATGATGTGGTTAAGGGCGCCATATTCTAGGAGCCCAAACTATGTGATTGAATAAATCCGTACTCAAAGTTAATACCTTGATGATTCCACGTCTACATAGTTTTGAAGATAACAAACAAACTCAAAGAGGAATGCTCAAAGACGAAGCAACATCCAAAAGAAATCAAGCAAGTGTGAAAGCATGCAAATCAAGCATCAAGCCAAGTCCAAGATCTCAATGGTATATTCATTTAGGACTTAGGAAAAATATGTAAAGATATATAGGTTCTAGCATTGCATGAGCTCAAGTTCATTCATATAATTACCTAATTGGAAATTGCTTAGAAACCTTGATCTAACAAGTCAAAAGTGCATCAAAAAGTTTTGAAATAACTTAAGCACGTAAGTAGCATTGCTAAGTGTAATCACATATATCATGGCCCTAAATCACTCATGTGTTTTCAAAAGAATGCATCCTTGAGGAAATGTCAAAACGAATGGTTTAATATGTTCAATATTGGTTTGGAAAAAGGTACCTACATGATATAAACATTCCTAGATAGTTTCGACAACCAATGTCATGCATTACAAGTCTTAAAACCCATTTTGAAAGAAAAGAAACTCAGAATTCGAGCAAAAAGGATGCTGCCAAGAAATATCTGGATATTGTACTAAGAATATACGAATATCAATATCCGGATATGTGCCCGATCCGAATATGTAAGGATTACAATGGCTATAAACGGCTAGTTTTCAAAAAAGGTGTCAATATAAATACTCACATCAGCTGTGATGAACAGTACACGACCATAGATCATTTATTGAACCTCTATTATTCATTCTAGCCTATTATTGCTCATTGATTACTTACTTTACTCATTGCATACACTTGAGCTCATCTTTCCTTTGAAGCTATACATCTATTAGTTCTTCAATTTGTGTAATTTGTACTTTGAGAGTACTTAGCCATTTTTAATCACCTCAATCTTACTTCTTGAATTGAGAGGGGAGTGAACCCTATACTAGAGAGGTCACCAAATTCCTAAGAAAATTTGGAGTGAAAAATTGTGAGGCATCAAGAGCCCGAAGTCTTGAAATGTTGTAGAGGTTTGTCAAGCACCCTCAAGCTTTATAGTTAGTGAAAGAATTGATCGAGCGGCTTCAGTCTGGGCGTAGGTCATGCTGGTGGTGACCGAACCAGGATACATCTAGTTTGCAATTTCTCTAACCTTAATCTCTTTATTTAAGTATTAAAATTGCATTTTAGATTATCTTTATATATTCATTTGCTTACTTTGTTGATCATTATACTTGCTCTTACACTTAGATTTTTCCTTATTAAATCACTTTATTGAAGAAATAGTCTTTAAAATATCAAAAGAGGTACTTTGCGAAAAGATTTTGTAAAACTCAATTCACCCCCCTCTTGAGTATTGAAGCCACTTGTCCAACAAAATCCATAGCCAATAACAAAGACCATTATAGCAAAACATGACATCAATCAAGTATTCAGCCATATTATACCATATGGGTTTAAATTAATCAAGAAACTCGGGATTGAGCATAAGAAAAGTCGAGAAGCATATGAGAGATCCTCTTTGGTAGAGTGCAAGAATGTGACAAAGAGAAGAGAGAACCATAATTGTGATTTCTTTTTCTTTTTTTTTCACATAATGGGTATGAGTCAAGTTTTGGATCAATAGGTCATTATTAAAATAAGTAAGGTCTAAAACTGACCCAAATAAAAGTGGGTCAGTATTTAAATCCAGTTCAAAAAAATAAGTATTTATAGGTCAGTCAAAGTCAGATCAAGGGCAGGGCAAGTGAACCAGTTTTTTTGCACACTCCTAACTACAACCCATCTTTAGAGCAACCAACAATAGCAATGGCGGGAGATATTTATGATAATTAATTTTTTTCCCATTAGATCTAATTGCTTCTGATTGTATATGAGCATGATTAGATCATTAAGATATTTTGGACCTTAAATGTATATTATATTGTACACTTTTTTTAATATTTATGTAGTGGTTTTAAATTAATCTTCCTATCTTAAAATGAGTTTTGTGTAGTGGGCAGACTAATAATCTCCATTTCAAGATTTTTAAAGATCCTCCTCCTCAGTTGATGGAACTTATAGTTGCTGATGCTAGAAATATGTCTAGCTTGTTAGTTTCTGATTTGTAATTTCTTTCTGTTTCTGGGGCTTAGCCCCTCTTTATTTACAAAAAAAAAAAAATGAGTTTTGTGTAGTCAAATTATGAATCATTAGTTGTTGGAGATACTCCACTTGCAAGTTGAAAATAAATTGCAATACAGTGAGATATCCCAGCCGTAGTGTCTTTAGGAGCAGTTGATTTAACAAATATTGTTTCTTTTTTTTGCATGGTTGAGATTTAACTATTGTTTCATTTGCAAGCAAAGTACTGGTGTTTGCCGTTGGTCAAGGGGAAAAAAAGATATTGGGAATATTCAATTAGGGAATGATTTACATCCTTAGCTATACGACTGCTTCAGTAGGGAAAGCATTCTACCAAACTGGGTTGGTTCAATTTCTTATGCCGTATATGTTCTGGTAATCATACACCCAATAATTAATGGATTTAAATTGTCTTTGTTTAAAGGAGACAAATATCTTATGTCAGTGAGATATAAAAAATTATGTCATTTTTTTTTATTTTAAAAAAATGATGGAACTCATATATTTTGTTTTTATGACATGATACAAGTTATGAAGTACCGACACTTCAACAATCTTAACGTGTCGTGTCTGATACTTTCTCACACACTCCGACACTTGAACACGAGTTATAGAAATTCAAAAAAAGGTTCAAAGGTTGCGTTGCGTTGAGTTTTTAGTTTCAACTATTAGATTCGTTAGATTACGATTACAATTTTATTGAGTTTAATATAAATATTTGGGATATCTTATGTTTCTTTGCAAAATTGATGAATATTATAAGTTTAATTTCATTTTTTTTGTTAAATTATTGAATATTAAATATAATATACACTACATAAAGTAAAAATATTATTTAATATCAAAACGTGTCCTAACGTGTCAAAATCTAACATTTTTTAGAATTAACGTGTCGGAGTGTCGTGTCGTATCGTATCCTGTGTCCCGTATCACTATCAGTGCTACATAGGATACAAGTTATCTTTTATTAAAGAAGATTAATAAATCTCATAATTAATTGCACAATGACGTAATCAGAGAGAAAAAAGAGATGAGATGAGTATGAGTATGAGCTAGCATTGTTTGACTCCCAAGGATGTCCCCATTGTAGTTCGCTAGCGTGTTTTGTTTTTAGTTTTCCTTCTCGTATCAAAAAAAAAAAAAGCATTGTTTGACTCATTCACGTACAGTAATTAACATCACCAATCCAAGTGTTATCTTTCTTCTCTTTCTTTCTTTCATTCTCTCACACACGAAATTGCGCTCCCCCTAACATTGTGCCTATAAATTGCGGCACCCAACACACACGCCAAAACCACCACTGCACCATTGCCAAGTTAAATACCATTATATATATATAAGAAAGGGTCCTCTTTCCTTTGCACTCAAACATCACAAGAAAAGCATGATGGAGCATTTCTACCTCTCCCTTCTTCTTCTCTTTGTTTCTTTCGTGTCTCTTTCCCTGTTCTTCCTTTTCTACAAGCACAGGTCTCCTTTCACAACCCCAAACTTGCCACCGGGAAAAATGGGGTACCCGGTGATCGGTGAAAGCCTCGAGTTTCTGTCCACAGGATGGAAAGGAAATCCTGAAAAGTTCATTTTCGACCGTATGATCAAGTATTCCTCTGAACTGTTCAAGACATCAATACTTGGGGAACCGGCAGTTATATTCTGTGGAGCCACATGCAACAAGTTCTTGTTTACTAATGAGAACAAGCTTGTGACTGCATGGTGGCCTGATAGTGTAAACAAGGTTTTCCCAACGTCGCTTCAAACTAGCTCTAAGGAAGAAGCTGTAAAGATGAGGAAAATGCTTCCTCTGTTCTTCAAGCCTGAAGCTCTTCAGCGATACGTTGGTATCATGGATACCATTGCAGAGAGACACTTTGCTTCTTGCTGGGAGAACAAGACGGAAGTCACCGTCTACCCCTTGGCCAAGAGGTGAATATTCATTAATAATCACATAACATATATACATATAACTCACCCCTACGTATCTACCTATGTCCTTAGTTAATGTTAATATAAATTAAATCATTCTTATAATTAATAGTTTAAATTTATATATATGAAAAATATCCGTTTACAAATTTTTTTATTAATTTTTACAAATTACATTGTGTACTCTCGAAAATTCATAGTGTAAAATAGTGTACTTTGGAGAGTACATAGTGTAGTTTGTAAACCAAATGTTTATAAATATAACCCTCTCCATATATATATATATATATATATATATATATATATACGGGGAATGATACGTTTATAATTTTTTTTTTTACAAATTACATTATGTATTCCCGAAAGTACATAGTGTAACCTAGTGTATTTTCGAGAATACATAATGTAGTTTGTCAGAGTTTGTAAATAAAAAATTTATAAATATAACCCTCTATATATATATATATATATATATATATATATATATATATATATATATATATATATATATATATATATATATATATATATATATATATATATCCACCGATTCATCATTATCTTGATTAATTCAATTCGAATAACGTCGAATCCATTAAAGAGGGTGGCTCTTCCAAGATCTATGATTAAGAGGAACAAATTTCTTACCACTTGAACCAATGATTGCTGATATAGTTTAAGGGTTTAAACCTTTTAAGATGATTAATTTGTGACATGATATTAAAACTTTGTAATTGCATAATTTAGATTTCGAACTTATATATTGTCCATGTGGTGCATGCATAATCTTTTTTAACCTTAACCTAGAGTGATTTAGTTGCATAATAAGTTAATTTTATGCGTTTGCCAATGGTCAATAATAGGTATACGTTCTTGTTGGCATGTCGTTTGTTCATGAGCGTTGAGGACGTGAACCATGTAGCAAGATTCGCCGACCCATTCCATTTGATAGCATCTGGAATCATATCAATGCCAATTGATTTGCCCGGAACACCATTCAACAAAGCAATAAGGGCAGCAAAGGTGATAAGGAAGGAGCTATTGGAGATCATAAGGAAGAGGAAGGTGGATTTGGCTGAAGGGAATGCATCCCCAACACAAGACATATTGTCTCATATGTTGTTGACTTGCAATGAGAATGGACAGTTTATGAATGAAATGGATATTGCTGATAAGATTCTTGGTCTTTTGATCGGAGGCCATGACACTGCTAGTGCCGCATGCACTTTCATTGTCAAATACCTTGCTGAGCTTCCCAACATTTATGATAGAGTCTATCAGGGTGAGTCTCTTATTATTTTTCTACCTCATTTGAAATTCTAATTATTTTTATGACATATTTTTTATTAAATGTTAATATCAATTCATACACCATTTTAACAATTGCTGGCGCTTCTTACTACATGATATCATTCATTTGTCTTGATATGTAATTTTTTTTTTTTATAAATCAAATCTGATAAAAAAATTTACAAAAGAAGAAGAAATATTCATGAAATGGAAGAAGTTGTAATTTTTTTCTTCCTGTCAAAGTTAAACTTGTTCAACTTAATCAGGTAAAAATAAATATAATTTAATAAATTCGAGTTAATAAACTTAAAACTTGTTCAACTTAAATTGAATTCTTTATTTTTTTAATATTTTTTTCCTGTTTTTTAATTGATGTTAAATAAATTAAAGCAAACGTAATTGAATGATCAACTCAAACCAATCTAAATTAAATTAAATATTTTTAAACTAATATTAATTTATTCAATCAATTTAGAAGTAAATCCAACTGAACCTAGATTTTAAAGACGTCTGTCAAGTGTCAACTGTAAGTCTACAAATCAATATCTTCACGATCTCATTTTTTTTAACGTAAGTCAAACATTGATCGCCGAATTTCACGAGTCGGTTGACGTTTAAATTACGTGCTAGCCTCCAAAATAATTTTTCAAAGCTGACGATTATTATCATGTCGAAGTTTGCAGCTCTAGTTTCGTGCTGTCTTTATCATAATTTGGAAGAATCCCACTTGAGTCACTTCTTGCAACTGCGATCATGCTTAATTATTATTTTATTAATATAATTATTCTTTCAGGATAAAGCTTTTATATATATATATATATATATATATATATATATATTAAAATTTGAGGTAAGTTATATTTATAAATTTTTTATTTACAAACTTTTATAAATTATATTATATTTACAAAATTTTCTTACATTAGTTAGCATTATTATGGTTTTTTATCCTCAATTGCAGAATATTTGTGTCCCTCAAATCTTATTAATGGCTTTACCACTCCATCAAGTCTTGATTAAGGATTAGGCTTACTCCGATTTAGAACCAGCAGTTTGATTTTGATTTCGAATTTAGGCTTGAGTCTTGAAAAAAAAAAAAACTGAATAATGAGCCAAGCCCAAAGCAAGAATTGAAATTTTAAATTTTAAATAAAAAAAATTATAAGACAAAGTTAAGAATTTTGTACATAAAAAGTATTGATAAACCTAATTTTAAACACTGATGTGGTCAAGACTTGCTTGCTTTTGTTTATCAAGACTGAGCCTTAAATCTCTGTTTTGATTGAGGGCTTAAAATTTAGGAACATACATGAATACATGCGGTGATTATTTATGATATATACTTATTTGTGTTCCTTTTGTGATATTTGTTTAGAGCAAATGGAAATTGCACAATCAAAATCTCGAGGAGAGTTGTTGAATTGGGATGACGTCAATAAGATGAGATACTCATGGAACGTTGCTTGTGAAGTAATGAGACTTGCTCCTCCTCTTCAAGGAGCTTTCAGAGAAGCCATCAATGACTTTATCTTTAATGGGTTCTCAATTCCAAAGGGATGGAAGGTAATTAAAATATATTAGAATTTTTTTTAAACTTCATAAGTACATAGAATGTATGATGAATACATTTGTCATATTGTATGAGACAAAATTATCCTATGCACACACACAAAAAAGTGGATGATATTCACTTTTTTTTTTCTCTCTCTTCTTCTTAATGGATCTCACTTACTTTTGTGTCTATAAATTGTCTCGTGCAATATGACAAATATATTCCCCATGATATATATACATCGGATTGTTCGTAGTTGTATTAAACATAGTATTACCATTTTGAGGTCATCTAATTTAGTTCTTTTGATATGTATGTAGTTGTATTGGAGTGCAAATTCAACACATAAGAATCCAGAATATTTCCCAGCCCCGGAGAAATTTGACCCAAGTAGATTTGAAGGAAATGGACCAGCTCCTTACACTTTTGTTCCATTCGGTGGAGGGCCAAGAATGTGCCCCGGAAAAGAGTATGCCCGATTGGAAATACTAGTTTTTATGCACAATTTAGTGAAAAGGTTCAAATGGGAAAAAATGATTCCAGATGAGAAGATTATTGTTGATCCATTGCCCATGCCTGCAAAGGACCTCCCAATTCGCCTTTATCCTCACAAAGCTTAAAAAGAGATATAATTTATGGAAAATAGAAATATAATATTATAGGAAAGTGTTCAGGTTATGTTATGGATATAGAGATTGTGGGACCCATACTTCTTTTTTTTTGGTTTTTGAAAACAAGTGTGGGTCTCACAATTTCTATCTCTATAACATAACTTAAACACTTTCCTACAATATCATACTTCTTTTTTCCATAATTTATACATACATAAAGTATTGTACAAGTAAGTCATGGGTGCTAGCGGGTTATACATAATAAACATATGTATATCCCAAATATTTTCTCTTCCTTTATTTGTCCTATTAATTTGTAAACTTTCTTGTGTTTAAGGGACAAATAAAAAATAAAATAGTCAAGTACAACAGCTCTAATTTCCAGAAAGATTGTATATATAACCATATGAGTATAATTAAGACTCATATCTCTCTCTCATATTATTGAATGGTTATATATTTTGCATTTCAAATAAAAATTTTGTTACCAACTTCCTAATTCAAGGTACCACAAGTAACTATAACTTTATATTAAAATATCCGATGCTGTCGTCGCCATGTTAATGATTATTTGTATTTTACTTTTCAATTTTATCAACTACTCTCATTTTGTAAAAAAGATTTTAAACTTGTCGTTTCCACTTTTCCACACACCGGATCGAGTGTTGCCGTGTACAATTGTCCTCTCCTTTTCTTGACCAAAAATAGGATAATGTTTTGTTGGAGCAATGATGTATCAATCTTATCCTTTCCTCAAGTACAAGATAGTTTTGAAATTAAATTTATTTGTATTTTGTTATTATGTTAGTAAATGTTGTACATAAATATCATGCAGTATGTATACACTTGTGAATTTCGTGTCTCGTTGCTGCTCGTAATCTTGAAGTTTATGTTACCGGTGATACAAAGAGTTGCACGCACGGTGATACTCAGGCCTGGCTTAAGCTTAAATAATTTTGTGTTACCGAAAAATTGTTGGTTTAATGTACGCTCTACAATTTTATCTGTCTGAAAAATAATGTATTCGATTTCTTTTGAAAGTCGTAATTCTTGAAAAGGAAGAAAAAAAGGAAAAAAAAAAAAAAGACTTAAATCCTTAATCGAATTAGTTAAATTTGTTAAATCATATTGATATCTGTGAAAAAACAAAATTGTGTTAGTTTCTCCCACTCCAGCATCATGTCTCTTTAGGGAGTGTTTGGTACGCGGGATTTTTCGGGATTATCGGGAAACTGAATTTTTTTAAATTTTTAATTTTTGGATATTATCATAAACTGAATGCAAAAATTATATTTTTGAAAATCGAGATTCCCGGACAAATAAAAATTTCTCCTGTACCAAACACCCCTACCTAAATTCCATTACTAAGCGATTATTAATTTTATTTTATAAACTACAGATATTCTTTACAAGAAGCAATCCTGTTCAGCGTAGGTCTAGGATTATGACTTTAAATTCTTATCCAAAAATATTATTCGGAAGGATCGAATACATACTATTATCCCCACATGCTCATCTCTCATATGCTAACTAAGCTATCATCATTTAGTTACTAAACAATTATTTAGGCACCATGTATTCGCATATGGTTGACTATTAGGATTTAGATTTTCAAACCCTCTGTTTCTACCCAATTTTTAATTTAGTTCCCATTATTTTTTTAAATTAATCTTTATACTTTTCTGTTGTTTATAACATTTAACAAGTTTTTTAAAACTTAACTAGCTATTATATTGATAAAGAAATTTATTTAGCATAGATAAATTATGATAGAATCAGATTAAAATAAATATATAATTAAATATATATATATATACTAACTTAATAAATAAATATGAAAATAATATAAATTTAAATATTATGTAGTTTTATACATTGATTTCTTCAACTTTATTATCTTTCTAATATTGTTTGAAGTTTGAACAATTATAAATACTTGTCATATATATATATATAAAAGGAATGTTATATTTATAAATTTTTTGTTTACAAACTACATTAAGTATGACCGGTCATACTTCAATCAAGAGTATATGACTGGTCATACTTAATGTAATTTATAAAAAAAATTTATAAACGAATCCTTCCCCTGTATATATATATATATAGGAAGTGCATGAAAATGTATCCAGAAATTTTTTTTCTTTATTTTTAATCCGAGTAACGGAAATAATTAAAAATAATATTGTATAGAATTGATTTGTTTCTTTTTTTTTCTAGAATGAATATGTTGTTCTAGAATATATATTCACGTAAATGAGATTTCTTTTCCTGTCACACTATTTATCAAATACAAATATTATAGAATATCTTTTTATTGATTGAATACAGACATCATAGAATGTGTTGTCAACATAAGATACATCCTAATTATTAAATATACACTCTCTTTTTTAGTATAAAAATAAAGGGTTCATTTTTCTGCATTTATTGTAGATAAGTTATCTGCAGTAAGTTCAATAGACATCGTTTTAGACAAAAGTGATGGTGTTTTTGTAGTTTTAATTTATTTCAAGGTTATTATAGTCTTTATAATTATAATTTTTAAATCTTTCAATCTCAAAACGATGTCGTTTTGAAAATAAATACAAAAAACTTATCAGCATTAACTACATAAATATTTTTCTAAAAAATAAATTGTATTATCAAACATATTTTTGTATCCAAATTAAACTTTTTTAAAGCATAAAAAAAAACATTTTTTTTCCAACAGCAGTACCAATATATCAAAGAAAAGAATTATTATCACACACATCTATACTTTCATATGGGATTTCAATTTCGTTTTCTTTCACGAAATTATTCATGAATGAAATACCGTCTTCATTCTCGTTGACACAACTTAGTATTACACAAAAAGTACCTTCCTTTTTACTTAGTCGGCAGAGCCACTAATTCGTATCCTTATTCGTGACCTTGTCATACTCATAAGTACAATTTGTCCTAAACTTTAAAAAGGTTTGGGAACAAAAGACAAAAACGAGGTCGAATCATTGCCAAGATGGATGGCTACTTATTAACTTGGATTCAAATGCATATCATTATGTTATTTGATCATAATTATTTATTGATGATGAAATAAGAAAGAGAAAAATATATAATTTTAATAAATGATTATGATGAAATAATACACACGATCACTTTTTCATACGAGAATATTCAAATCCTATTAACTTAGAAATTGGAAGGTTGGAAATGCGTAAAGCTGGCATGAATCTCCGACGCCGCCGCAACGCCGCAGCCAACCTTCATCTCATTCTCCATTGTGATCTAGAGAATTCGGATGGGTTAGTGACCTATTTTTTAAGGAAGATGTACTTGTTATCTAAATTTTTTTTGTAGCATCCGAGTATAACTATTTCTTCCCGGAATAATTATAATTAGAAAATTGTTTTTTTTTCTTTTTTTTCACATCAGCAAATAATTTCTGAAGAAAAAAAATTTAAAATTATAATTATGTATTTTCGAGAATACATAATTATAATTGATTGCTGAAAAAAAATGTAGTAATATAACTTTAAACCTTCAATACCAAAATCGCTGCTCTGAAATTAGGGATAAGTACCAATTCAAAAAATTATTTGTTGATATGTTCTGGGATGGTAAAATTTTCCAAAATGATACACTTAAGTCCAGCTGAAATTATGATACTTTGGAAAGTTTATGTGCAATTTTCTATGATACCCTACACAACTTAAATATGATATTTTGGAAAAATATCTCCCACCCCGTGCTATAGTAATTTTTTTTTAAAATTGTTGCCTTTTCAAAACACTGATATTGATAACTTGCATTCATTGTTTTTAGCTACCTGCGACCAATCACTATGAAGAGATTTTGATAGAAGTAATGTTGTTTAAATATGCTGATAAGAATCACTTTTGAATGTGTGAGATTGTCGATAGAGATGAAAATATTGATAAAAGTAATATTAAAACATTATAATATAGATATATTTTTATCAGTACACATGCGCATGAATTTTTTTGAACCGCTAAAGTATCAAAATGTTACTTCTGTCAAAATCATGGTTTAGGATTTTTAGGGTACGGAATCGATTTCTTAACAATTTTGCCGAACATGCTAACACAATAAACAAAGCACATTTCAAAAGGTACCAACATTTATCCAAACAAAGGCTTGGTGCGGCGAGAAAGAACATAGATCAAAATTTGTGGGCTCTCAAATTGAGTAATTTTAAACAATATAATACCAGTTAAATTATCATTCTTGATAATATCAATTTTTTGTAACACAATTTGTATTCACTAACGTTTGGTTAAATATTGAATAGATCACTAGGCGATTTCCAAATTGAAGTATTTTAGTGCTGAACCTTGCAATTTTCGGGATTATTAGCCTATGAGCGAGATGGTACCTGCGGATAGTATCTTGATGCCGCAAATTGATGGATTTGACTGGAATAAGAAGGGATAAATTACAAGGTACTCTGATACTTAAGTCATTGTTTAATTAATGTGCAAATGTAATATAAGAAAGATGAATGTATCAGAGTCTTTGCCCCTCTATTTATTATTATTTATTTATTTATTTATTTTGTAATGACCCCTCTATTTAAAGTGTGGCATGACTTGCTTTGAAAATTTAGTAGACTGTTTTTCTGTAGTGGTTTAGTTTGTATATTTTCCGATTGCTCATTTGAGTGGCCTTTACTGCCTACCACTCTTTGCGGGATCTCTCTTGATGAGCTTCATTATTAAGACTTGTCTGGAAGTTTGCCCATACCATTCATTCATTTGTTGGATGAGGTGATGACTTGTTTTAAACTATTAGAATAATCTCACGGGATAGTGTGTATATGCATCCTACGCGTTTATGTATTCTACCTTTCTTGATTCAATTATGTCTCGAGAAAAAAATGCGTAGATTAAATTTCTTTCGAAAGTGACTTTTACAAAGATGATTAAGTCAATATTTATTGGGTAAAGTGTGTGTCATTTTAAAAGATATAAAGTTGTGTCAAAGTGGACAAAAAAAATAAAAGTGTGAATCAC